CTGTTGAATTAAAAAAATAAGATTCAAATAAATGAAAAACGTTCAGAAGTTGAAAAGGATGGTCAAGCACTGTGAGGTAGAAGATATGACGCCACAGTATGCCAGTAATTCCAGAATACAATGGGTCCCAGCAATTGCAACCCACACCGATCAAAGGACCTAATAGATCTGATCAGACCCGATTACGTTGTTGGTTGCGTGCCATAGTACCCCGATTGCGTGGATTGTTGCTCGCAATATCGATCACTGGGTGGTCTGGTCCAGACTCGATTACGTGTACAGGCCACCGTCATATAGCTAGAATATTGCTGAGACTTGCGTTGAACAACAAACAAATAAACCAAATAACAAGTTGCATTGATACCCCTAAATTTGGCTATGCATGCGCATAGTGGATATTTCGGTACGAAGCGGATTGATGGGGGTCGCTGACTTGATTGATAGCCGGTCAACTTACAATAATAATTAATTGATTGTTTTTATTCAGACTGGATTATTGATATAGACCATATAGCCGGACTATTGTTGTATTCGATGTTAAACAACAAACACACACACCCTAATTTGAAAAGATTACAATTTAGCTATATACTGTAAAGAGCCACAGTTTAGCTTATGTGCCTTAGCCCTGCAAATGCAACATGTATGGAAGCGGGCAGAACATGACAAATATATTTACCTGCGCAGATCAGCACAAACGAGATGAAGAAGTGCATCTTTTTCCCAGGATACACCGTTTCGTATATGGGCAATTTGGTCATCATGTTTTATTATATAGTCGCCCCAACTATCTTCAGATCAGGTCATTATCTTTTGATCATTTGTTCAGCCGTACCTCGGCTGTTGCATGTAAATGCCATATTTAGAATTGATTATACTAAGTCGGAATAGACATGCACTGGTTATACCCTTATGTATGATGAAGTCAATGTCCTGTTCCCTTAGATCATTTTCATGCACGAGACATGTGTTCATTAGGATAGGATGTGTGTAACATGATAACAGTGAAAGAGCTACTTCTTGTCCATCATATCGACGTTTTTAACAGTTATTTCGACTCACAAGTGGGAAATACTTGATTCTGCTAAAATATTAACCTACCCACTATTTGCTATTAGTAGATGACGGATGACAAGTTAGGTAGCTACGATTTCATACACATGCATGGTAGCCAGTGCTTGGTCTTGATGACTAACAATCAGCCAGGGGATACTGTTACCACCAAATTCAAATCCTCATTGGTTTGCTCTTGAAACGCATTCAGTCCTGTAATCGCGCCTTATTGATGATACACATTAACTTTAGTTCTAAATGGATCCTTCAGATCAATATATCATTTTATAATCCATTTCGTGGTTTAGAAGCATGTGCAAATCAGTTTTAGCTTTTTGTCAGCAAGTCATCATGGTTTATCTTTTTCACAAAATGGACAAGACATGGTTCATTGGATTATCAGATTTGTCTATAGAAAATTCATGTAGTGTACTGCTTGTCAATCCACCGAGGGGTTCGTTGGTTACAAACGGTCCCCAACACACTATCGCTTGTCGTGAAGGGCAACACGATTGTATCGGGTGGTAAGGCACGGTGACTTGGTTCATCGCGTGTCATCATAACCTGACGGTGTGGGACATTGCTATTTCTTTGACCCAGTCTTGATTATTCCCTTTGTTCCCGTCCTACCATGCCTCCGTTCTCTCATTACTAAAACTCTCTTTTTGCCAGCACGCATAGATAGATGCCTAAATGCAACACCAAATAATTTAACATATCTCCATCCTATCAACTTAGCACTTCTTCAGCTCTTCTTTGAGCACAATGCTATTACTTCAATATATAGGGATACTATTTATCCTGGCGAAGTAGAAGTCATTATTCCTATGGTGCATCTTTTTCATCATAAATTTGATATAATTGTTGCAAATGATCATACAGTTCATCTTAGACTGACTCGAATTGCTAATAGTGTTAAAAATGGTTAATCCGTATTTCAAATCCTGAAGAAATAATTAAGGATGGTCAAAAAACTCCACATTTAACATGATGTATTGATTGGTGTTGCATCATGTCTGCCGTTCAGTAACAGCTATGCAAAAGATGTTTTGTAAGCTACGTACCCTAACTGCTGCCCTGTATTTAGTAACTCAAGCAGCACTCATCAAATCAGACATCCCATCATTTGAGTATCATTATCCCACTTCAACGCCACAGTCTTTCCTTTTACCCATCGCCGAAGCATTTTTATGAAACTGCACCCATCATTTTATCAATTGCTTGTCGTAGGAGGCGACTTACGGGATCGGGCGACATTGATTGGGGGAGCAGAAGCGGCGTTGTTAATATGAACGTGGAATGTTCCACCTTGCACAGACTAGCAAACACTGATGATGATGCCCCCCTTGTCATAGAAACACCATGAGTGTGCGAGGATGTGGCGGAAGTGACATACATGTCAGCTGACTTGAGGATTATTTAGCATGTCAGATCAATGATTCGTGAATACAAATTGAGGATATGCATAGTTCTAAGTCCGTATTATTGCGTTATGTTGTGTGCAGGAACACCTTTGCATGACAACGACTGGATCATATGGTTCCTGGCATTCTGGTTCGTCAGCCGCTTGTTTGTGGTGATGTTTGCCTCACCGACCATGTTTTTCTTCAGAAGCCAAAATTCTTTTGCCTACGGGTTGTCCATGAACCATACATCGCAGAGTTAAAGATAGCTTGTGGTATTGATGGCAAGATAGAAAGTCGTGTTCAACAGTAACATCACCCCAATTTATTTGCCTTTCTGGTTCAATGGATTGGAGTATTAAAAATAAACAATCTTGTTCCGCCATAAAGTTTTCAGAACGTCCTGAAACCAAGTTGGCTAACATCTCTTAGTTTCTGGTTTCATTGGGAGTTATTGGATTAGCCCAATCAGGATTCCTGTTCCTAGAAAGTCAGGGACTTGGTATTGGATTTACTAATTTCACAGAATTTGACAAATTGATGTGAATCCTACTATGTGCAGCCATAGTCAGGCTAGTTGAGCGCCCTGTCAATGCTTCATCGAAATCCAATGTTGCAATGCAATTCATATTCCGACCCGACGACCTTCTTAACACCTATCAGGAATTTGTACAAACAGTTTGTCTTTTCGGGTTATTTCATGCATGCATTAGGTCTGTAATCGTTAAAATCGACAGACAGGTACGTTTTGACTGTTCTTAAATTATGTTCAGTTTTCTTTCAAGTGTTTTCATTTTTATTTTCTGGCAGGAAAACTGTCAATATCTGCATCATATGCATGTCTGAAGTCAGCTGCTACTAAATCATCAAGTGCACACTGAGAAAGGTTTCTTGCGAAGGCGGGACCGATGCGACTGGAACAATCTGATTCTGTGTGGTGGTGCTTGTTTTTCTCAAAGGCCTGTTTTCACATGGTAAACATAAAATGTATATGAAGGTTGTAAATGTCTTTTCATCAGCCAACTAAGCTGCCATCTTCTGTCACCAAAACTTTAACCTTTAGCGTTGTCATAATTGGGTATTCTATGATGATATATTATCACCAGGAGAGACTATTATCTCTGCTATTCTTCAATCTTGCAGACACTTTTTATTTACGTGTTGAGGATAAGCCTTAACCCAGTATCATAAATTTAGGTTCAGTGAAAATTTAGGACAGTCTGAGACACAACAGATGGTGCCGAGCGATAAAAAAGATATTTCTCACTTATGTTTAAGAGTTCACGCTACCACAAATATCTAAGTTCTTCAGCAGTTTGGGCTATGTTTCCTTTCGACTGCTTTGAAATGTATCTGCTTGGATTTAAGTGTTTAAAAACATTAACAATGCTTGTACCCCAACTTTGTCACTCACTTGTCTCATATGGATTCCATCTTCACCATGTATTTATATATGTATATATATAATACATAGGTATATAAATAGGGATGCGGAGCACGTGTTTTCGTCTGATAAATATATTATACAAAAATCAAAAGATATTGTGATGTGGATTCTTTACACTCATGAACCATGAATAATGTTTCTAAATAAGTTAGATGAAACACATCCAAAGAAATGTTGGCGGTATTTCATGTTTTGTTTTGTAGGAAACAATGAATATCCGAAGACAATTGTATTAAATGTTCTATGAATCAGGCCAGATAACCAAACTAAAATCAGTACCTCTCTAATATAAAAAACAAAACAAAACAAAAACAAAAACACCACCTCAACATCAGAGAATACAATCAATCCATAGGGCATGACAGACATATTAGCTGCGAAAATTGTATAGATCACTGAAAACCAGCGATGACACCAGGCATTAGCAGCTTTGAAAGTGCATAAATATACTACTTTTGAATGTGTGGGTGAGATTCCTCTCCATTCACACCTAAGCTTAAATGACATAGAAATGAGTGCATCATGTTCCACGCAGCGCAACGCCACACTTCAATTCAACGTCCACAGATACACCATATGGGACGTTATCAACAGGAAAACCACGTCAGAGACCGCCCCTGTAGTGGCCGTCCACCCATGTCAACCCCTCGACAAGACAAGCTCAGGAGAGCAATTCTCACAGCCCTTAGAATCCATTGATACATATCGACAAGGACAGTCCGACAACGTCTACGCATCTACGATATCTGTGCGTGGCACCCACCCACACGACCGATTCTGATAAGAACATCAACGTCGTTCTTATGAAAAATATGATGTTGCAAGACATGACTTGTAAAGCTGGGCTACCACATAGCTGATCTTACGATAATGATACTACTTATAATTCGGCATCTATTTCTGCTGGCTGGATCATCATCTTCATTGTCACAATAAATAGAAAAATCTCGCACATACATTCAGCAAATGTCAGAGTTTTGCTTTTGCAATAGATAATGGAAACATGAAATATGGACTATTCTTGGCCTCGTATTTGTGCCAGAGGAGTGTCCGTGTTCCATTATCTTGAAATTCAAGATAAAAGTGCGAAATGCCTCTATGTTGAGCAGTCTCTTACAATGACACAAGCTACAATGCAGACCTTATTCCTATGTATTTTGCTATATTGCTCTGTCTCAGGACTAATTTTACCCATGACAAAGCCAGATGGCAGTGCTGATCTCTCCAGTGTACTGAGTCACGTCGTATTGCTTGAACAGTCCATGGCAAGCTTTAAGACAACCACAGGGAAGCTGCAAACAGATCTACAGGTAACAAAACAAGATCTACAGAGTACAAAAACAGAGCTGCAAACCACAAAAACAGTTCTACAGAACACCCAAACAGACTTACAAACAAGCCAATCCCTACAACAATTGGCCAGTGCTGAAATTACCTCTCTGAAGTCTGAGATGGCAATGCTGAAGGCTGAACTGAAGTTGTCTTCGAATGAGTTGAACCAGGTGAAGTCTGAACTGAGAGACTTGAAACTGGATAAACTTAATGCTAACTTTCTGTTGAACATCACGATGGATTCTATGAGTCGCAATATCAAGCAGAACTCCGTGCAGGTAAATGTAGTACAATCAGATGTTTGGGCGTTAGATAAACAGCTGCATCGAGTAAACTCTACACTGTATGATGTCAAGAATGAAGAAGAGGGTTTCATCCGAAATACGTCATCGTCAATCAAAATCATTACAAACCAGTTGCTGGTTGAGATCACGGACATGGTGTCCACAAAAGAAGTGTTACAAAATGCGTCAAAACAGCTGGAAAGACTTGGGACAGAAATGAACCAAACAACTGTTGATATGCGCAATGTTCAACAAGGTCTTCAGACAGTCAAGGATAATCTACACACAGCACAGTATAATATCAGTTTCACAAGCTCAGAAGTGGCAGGTTTGCAACGTGACATGTCTAGTGTACAGAAGCAGTCTCTGGGTAACACCAAGTCGCTGTCACAAGTCATACAAGACGTTGGTAAGTCGTGTATTTTCAGCGTGATATTACTTCAACTTGCACGATTGCTGTGATCCCTTTTGCTCGAAAATCAGTTCTTTGCTTGTGGCAACATGGCAATGGCATTTTGAACTTATATTAGCCGCCATCGATATAACTGAAGTGTGAAGTATCATCAACAAAGATAGTGAATAATTTACAAATATTTTATTTAATCAGGAATATTCAACTATTTACCTCTCTACACTTCTTAACAACTATAAACACCCCAACCATCAAAAGCCCAACAACTACCCTATCAATCAACTTAAAGCAGGAAATGTTAGGCTTGGCACCATGACCAAAACAAATAATATAGGCGATGTTGAATTCCCTACCTGTATCTTAATACTCAGGCAACAATCTGCACTTAACGACGGTTCATGTGTAACAATCTGTTTGGTTGTAAACACATTCACTTTAAGGCGTATATATGTTAATGACTTAGTTTCCAGAACCATTGAGTGGACGAAACTGAGCATTATGAGCACAGGCATGTCCTTTGGTTCCAGTCGAATCTTTTTCAATCAACAAATAATAGTGTCTCGGGCATAGGGCAATTTTCGAGGTTCGTAAAGTAAATGGGATGAAAGAGTATAATTGCAATAAGGCTGCTTCCTTTTTAATCGTTTAATGTACTTTAACCTACCTACAACCAGCACTTTTGCAATTTTAATTTCAATTCGATTACCGACCATATGGTGTCTTTACATGTCTGCCAGTCAAGTAATACATTGTCAACCAATCAAATTGCTGTTCCTCCACGATTGCAACAAACGATGATATCACCAGTACTAGAATCGACTTTCGCGTGCCATTTCAAATACAGCCGGAATGACTAGTAGCTTCAATGACTTTTCTCCCACGTTTCTCCCACCACCCAGGAAAACATTATGCAGATGAAGCTTCCTTTATAACGGTCTTTAGATTCGATAAAATGCATACAATGTTCGTTGAGAACAGGCCGCAGTTGTGCATAAATCTATGACGAACTCTTATTATATCATGATGTTTAGTTGTCCATTCTTAACTGTTGCTTTCAATCCATGCAGCGTCAAAGACAAGAACTGTTGCCTTCCGCACAGAGAGTCCCCCTGACACTGCCATCGGACCCCCGCTTATCTTTGACTTCACTGTCTACAATGTAGACTCCTGCTATGACGAGAACACAGGGAAGTTCACCGCGCCAGTCTCTGGAACCTACATGTTCTACACAAATCTAGCATTGAAGGTGTCCAACCCATTCGGCACGTACATCCACATAATGAAAACTGGCTCCACCATAATCGGGTTCGGGACAGCAAAGACGGGCAGCGACCACTCGGCTGCATTTTCTGTTGCCCCCATCCTCAAGGGTGAACAGGTGTGGGTGGAGACAACCCAGTCAATCAAAATCGATCACAGTTCATCAGCATCATCCTTTGGTGGGTTCCTGGTGTCCGTGGATTCATCGACTCACGTTTAAGAATAAGTCGAGGCACTTGTCCCATCATTGTCAATACTTCACAAGTTTTGTACACACCGTTGGATACATACGAGCACTTTGTAGGTGTAGTAGAGCTCAGGGCTGATCTATTTTAGTCAGCTGATGACAAGAGGCCGTTTTGAACTGCTGAAAGTCAAATGAGTGAGTGAGTTGGGGTTAATGACACTTTTAACAGAAATCCAGTTATATCGCGGTGTGTCAGCTTAATGTGGGGGAAAAGCCCAGAGTGATGCAGGTTACAAACGTTTACCCCCGAGCATGGGTATGGTGCTGACAAACCTAGAAACATAATCAGGGCAAACCGGGATTCGAACCCAAAATCATAGGTTTCTGGCGTTCCCAGGGGATGCATCTCTGCACAGGGAAAAAGTCAAATGGCGAACCGTTCCCTTGTCTGACACTGAGCAATGTGTAGAGTTGACTGGCGCAATGCTTTGCATGAGAAATATTGTCGTTTTTGCAATGTAAGTTGAGCCTCCCATTCGTCTGAGCACCCGCTGGTGTCCCTCCCTCTAGAACCTGGTCTTGTCTTTATTCTTCTTTGATAGGCATTTAGAAGTTGGAGTACTAAGTAAGGATAAGATTTATGGATGAACAACTTCTTTATTACAATTAAGCGCGACGTTTCAGTGTAGGTTCAAATCATTTGCGGTGTTAGAACCTACACCGAAACGTCGCGCTTAATTTTAATAAAGAAGTTGTTCATCCAAAAATTGTATCCTTACTTTGTCTTTATTCATTGCTAAAAGCAACGTCAATTACAACGCAAAAGTGATTATGTGTATACCTTGGTGATTGTAGAACCTTGTGTGTACAAAACATGTGAAGTATTGAAGATGTTTTCCAACGGGGAATCTTAATTTGATAAACTACATTGATATTCCAATAAAAGTATTGCAATGATTCATTTCATTGAACGGTTTTCTACTAAGCACACTTCATGAAAACTGTCATATTTGCATGTGACTAAGTTTGAGCACATTATCTGTACAGATACATGGGGAGTAGCATCTTGAGCATCGTAAGCGTTTTCGAGCATTTGTTAATTATCCCTGAAAAACACCTACTTTTGTTTAGTTCGGTGTTTATTACGCTGTGGCACCATTAGCGCCACAGCGTCGAGTGTGATATCAGCTTCCTTTATATGCGTTTCATTTACCAATACAGTAGGAAATTATTAAGGTAATGATTTTTATAGAAAAAGGATATTATTGTCACAAAGCTGTATGAAATAGAGAATGGTCACTAGCAAGTGGAACTTGGTGGCTTTAGTTTGATTTTTCGTAACTTTCAATCCGGGAATCATTTGAAATCATACGAAGTTTCCGGTATGAATCTGTTTCTTCAGTATTCCTTCAGTTGCCCGTCACCTTACCCGTAGGACAGGTCCTACCCTGTCTTAGTTATTGTCATAAATTTGGATACCTCAGCCCTAAGACAGCTGCGAGAATACGCTCAGGTAAGATGCTACGATAACTTTACAAAGACAGCTTCGTGAATATGCCGCCTGATACTTTCTATCTGTCACTTGTTGATTTGCTATTTTTCGCTCCTGTCAACAATATACCAGCTTTATGACGGCGGTCTGTATATAACCAAGTTCGTGCCAGATGAGCAAGTGATTGATAGTAAGACCAATACTACGGTGAAACGCAATCAACGCAAGTCAGTCACGCCCGTTTCCTAAGGTTCACGGTAAGTGTGTGGAAAACATAAAATTGTTGATTAATGTTGTTTCAAGCTTTCTACTTGTATGGTTAAAATGTCAACACTGAGGGGAAGAGACTGAAGGGTGTTCATCGCTGTCACCAAATTCTTTTTTTTACCTACGAGGTATTCTAATTTTATTCTTTCTGGTATTTCTTGCATTCAGAAATTGGTTTATAAGTTTGATAAAACACTTCTCTTCAATTTTGGTCGTAGCCCGTGGGTTATTCTCACAGTAACAACCAAAACCTGCAGGCGTGTTTTATCATTTACTAATAAACCTACCAGACAGGAACAGACTACCGGTTCACAAAGCAGTCGTACATGTAAGCCTTACGTGCATGTAAAACTGTCGTAACTTGGCAATACTGAAGTAGGGTCCTTTCACAAAGTTAGTGTAATATTACGTCTGTGTATAATTGGCGTAAATTGTACGTGTGGTCTACGGGGATGTAAATATTTACGCGAGCGATGACGATGGCAATCAATCCAAACACGGATGAGATAGCCAAAAGGTATGTAGGCGAGAACGTATATTCTGCGACAGGTCGAATCCACTCGACAATGATAATGACATCATCGTGAGGTACCGCCTTTGACGACACATGCTATTTTCTATGATTTATATAGTGAGTGGCAGATTTGAACATCAAACCCAGGGTCCCCATGCAATACCACCTTACCTGAATGTTTTAACGGTTCCGAGTTACATCTCAAAGGGCAGGTTTTACAGTGAGATTGCTGATATCCACGGTGTGAGTAAATCCTCCGTCTGCAGAGCAATCCATGCAACAACAGACAACCATGTGCGATTTCGTATTTCCCACAACGCCTGCCACTCAGAAGCGTACCAAAGAATCGTTCTTCAGCATAGCTGGATTCCCTAAAGTGCTTGGTGCAATTAACTGCACATTTGTTCCCATTATGGCGCCGAAACGTGGCGAGGTATACTACGTTTGTGGGAAGGGTTACCACGTACTGAACATGTGAACATGAGGTGAGATACATACACACACACACTTACACACACACACACACGGCTCGCGCCCCTTATCTCTCACCAATCGAGCAAATGTGCGATGAGATGGATCGGCGCCTTCGACGTCAACCACACCACTGACACTCCGTGAACTTCGAAACATGCTCCAGCAGATATGGACAGATATCCAACAGGACTTTGTGCGACGCCTGGTCCATTCCATAAGACGAAGATGTGTTGCTTGCATCGCAACCAGAGACGGACACACACGCTATTGATTTGTAAATTGACATTTTGGCATGTTCATGTTTTTTATGAAATCACGCTTTTTCTGAAGTCATTTTGGCAAATTAAACCATTTGAACACTCACAGGAGTCTTTTATCTGTTGCAAACCGAAATTGTTTCAGATTTGGTAAAAAACATAACTTTGCATTAAATCTCATTCAATGTCAAATATATTTCACAAAACTTTTTAAGTGATCGATAAATGATGCATTTTGTGACACACCAGCAATTGTAGGAACTCGACCATCGAATCAATCTATTTCATTTATTCCCATTTATAAAGAATCGTCGCCAGTAAAATGAGTGTGTCCTCAAAATAATCGTTCGTAGGCAACTCACTTGAAACGGTGTAAACTTTTAGGTGCAATTTGTGTTTTTTTCATTTTGTACTGATTTATATACAAACACTTGAAATATTAACACCAGCTGAATTAGGCAAAGAGGGACCAAATAGAGTTTTTATAAAACGGTTAACTGCACAACCTCCAGAATTACACCAAGCTTAAGTTGTGTAATGACCTCGGCAGCGGTTATTCTGACCCATGAATTACTGCATATAGGCACTTCAATCGCTACGGTTGCCCGGTCCGTTCACAGGTAAGAAGCATCTCTACCAATTAATACTAAATAATTTCATCGATAACCAAACAGGCACAAAACGAGTTGTATTTTAAGGTGGGCATAGGGGTTCACATTGACAAAGGAAGTTCAATTGTTGAATTATATGCTGCTTTCATTATTTACTTCTAATTTGATACTAAGTTCTAATTTGATACTAAGAGATGCAGTTCTTGTAATTATTTAATTACTATCACCAGCTTTGTTTTCCTCCAAACACACAATGGCTCAAACAAATACGTGATGACTGAAGTCGCATTCCCCCTTGCTCTATTCTCCTGACCCTCACACGCACCTTACCGGTATTACCATGGTTACAGTGTGGAAAATTAATGAAGCATGAATGATTGCTACGGTGATGTATAATGTGTTGATCACAAGTACAAAAATAAGAAAACCCACTTGGCAAAGACACATGGTGATATCTGCTATCATTAATACGTTAAGTACAAACTACTAAACATGAAGTGTTCGTTACTGGCGACACAATGGCAAGGATTATTATATCGGTGCATATATTTCTGATATTTGCATAGTGTGTTTAATGTAAGTCCCCCTTCAGTCATTCTGAGCATAATATTGGCAGATTGCAACCCTGGCCTCAACTTGACTACTTCATTCCCTCAATTATTCCTTCATTCATTCATTCGTGAATGAAGTAGTCAAGTTCATTCATTCATTCATTCATTCATTCATTCATTCATTCATTCGTGAATGAAGTAGTCAAGTTCATTCATTCATTCATTCCGTGAAGATCCGGGGTAGAATAGGTCTTCAGGAACCCATGCTTGTCGTAAAGGGCGACTATGCTTGTCGTAAAAGGCGACTAACGGGATCGGGTGGTCAGGCTCGCTGACTTGGTTGATACATGTCAATTCATTCATTCATGTCAACACCAATGAAAAGGTATAAATTGTCAGGGATATTCTTGGACGTGTCACTGATATTATCAAACCATTCGACACATACAAAATAGGCACGAAGTGTGCTTAACGTAACACGACAAACAACACAAGGTGATGTCTTCGTTTGCACGAGTTAACGTGTGTACAGGTCCGGTTCCTGAGGTCAAAGGTATTCAAGCTTACAACTGTATATGACGCATGTATTGTGACAAGGCGTGGTGTTGTGGTATTAAGTGAACAATAATCCAGCTATATCAGGGTTGTCTGTACATAAACCAATGTTAACCAGACATCCAGTACTTGGAACACAACCAACATTTGAGCACTATGACATGCAATCAGCAAAATCACAGAGCCTGACCACCGATCCATTTCAGTCGTTTCTTCGCCAAAAGAAATACTAGGTAAAAGTGGGGCCATTTTGTCTACAGATACTCCAGTCGGTATCACACAAAGAAGACAGTTTCATATTTTGTATTTTAAAGATGGTGCATAGGGGTTCACATTGACAATATGGACGAGTATTTCAACACAACAAATCAAAGGTATACGTAGTTCATCGTTGGGCTCTTCACAAATCCAGTGTTCCTTTTCCTCCATACATCGCCTAGGATCTCCCAAAGTGACGTCTACGTTGCATTTTCGACAACGTCTTGTAATATTTCAGCGCAAGACCACTGACGAAGCTTTCTATGCATATGGTACTTTCTATATTGTTGTCGATCATCCAGTGATATTTCCTGACTATGACACTGCATCTGGCTATGTGTGAAGACCATTTTTTATCTCTCCTGTAGCGATAAAAATGATGAAAGTGGCGTGTCACCTCACTCACTCATTGGAGATGAGACGTCAGAACCTTTCATGACATGTACTGAGTTTTCAGTTTTCTTTTGGAGTTTCGAATTATCATTCGATGTTAAGTTCTTTCACAATAACTCTACGCTTTATTTTCACAGCAAATGTTAATTCATTATGAGATAAAATGACACAATGCATTGACAAGTTGGTCAGCTCGAGCTGTATATTTCATTAGTACTTCACAAAGGACATCAACCTAAAAAGGAATATTCATAGGTAGATATCACTGCATGGTTTATGAGAAATGTTAAATACTACAACAACATGACG